TTTTCGGCTAATTTTAAATAATAACATTTTAATATATTTCTCCTACCAGCCAACATCTCATTTTAATAGGTGTAAGTTTTCCTTTGTACATCTGTGAAATTCTTCTTCTACGTCATCAGTATTTCAAATATTGAGCATATAACCAACATCCTGTACAGCACTGCATCTCTTCCATTTTCACCATTTTCTGTCTGGATGCCCTCCTTTTTTCTTCTTTCCCTCCTGTGTGATTGATGTGGTAACAGGGACGGTGATCACCTGTGTGCATGTGTGTGTGAGAGAGGCAGTAGATGGATGGTGTAAATGTCTGAGCTATCATCAGCTTTGATTGGCTTTGAGTGGCTCTGAGTGCTGGGTCCATCCCAACCGTTTCCCCGGGCCCTCACGAGCAGTGGGCTGTGAGTTTGTGTATGTGCGTATGTTGCCAAGCCTTTTGTGTGTCTCTGTTTTTCTTTCTGTGTGTGTGTGGCACGGTTTCTGAATGTAGATATACATCTGTGTGACCATATTGAGTCCCTGTAAGCCTTATAAAGTACAAAACAATAACAGGGCATCATGCAGGCTGAGTGGCTATAGCGACTCTAATTCATCTAATGGATTAATGATGAAAATGTGTAACCAAGCCCTGCTGAAGATTAAGATGCTCTCAAAAAATAACATTTCCACACAACAATCACAGAGAAATCTTGACTCCAATTCATTTAACAATTGTATTTCCTACAAAGGCAACCAATAAACAATTTACTAATAAAGAAAAATGGCCGCCCATTTCCTCCAAGCTTGACAGGAAGTGTCATCAAGCTGATTACCCGACTCTTCCCGCCCTCCTCCGAGCTCCATACATACCAAAGACAGCACTGGAGGGAAGAGAAAGGCTCCCAGTTAATGTTTAACCAGGCTATGTAAAGACAGAGTCAGATAGCTTAGCTTATGAGCAAATAGACCGTGTGTGTGTGGGACAACAATCAGTTTAATGGCTGACATGTATCTGAAAATACTGCAGTTCTGAAGAGGCGGTGAAATACTTCAAAAAGCAACTATAGCTTGACTTAATATTTAGAATGTTGCTATGTTTAATGTGTATATGTTACCATCTTATAGTAATTCCAGTCAGTTGTACTGTATCTACATTAAAACCATACAGGAAATGTTTTCTCAACTTACCTCAAAGCTGAATGTAGTGATTAATTGAGTGAGTTGTTGACATTGATAAGAAAAGGCGTCATGGGGGTCATAACACTTTATCAAGAGGTGAAAGTACAATTTGTATTTAAAAGAGTACATTTATAATTTCAAGTTCCTGCAGGAGGCCAAATATAGCAAAAAGTATGATGATCACACTGCATCCCGTGTTAGGTGTGTGTGTGTGGGGGGTGGGGGGTGGAGGGTGCATCCATATATGCATACATGGATGTCTGCATGTGTGTTAAAAAGAGAAAGAGCTCTCTTTTTTTTGGCCAAGTTAGCATTACTAGCACCATGTGTTAGTGTGTGTGTGTGTGTGTGTGTGTGTGTGTGTGTGTGTTGGTGTTTTTGTATAGAAAGTGCTGTGTGCAGTAGAACGGGGGATTTGGTGCCATCAGCACGGTGATGTCAGCACACAGGGACAAACAAAGCAAGAATCCAAACCCTCTCCCAACTACCCACAATCCTACTGGACACTGTTGGGGGCCCTGCCTGAGGTTCCGCTGCCGTTGAAATACACACACCCATGTTAACACAAGTAGATACACAGAAATTAACACACGTGCATTTGCGTTCACAAGGTCGGTAAATACACACACATGCAATGCATATATACATTCATACATGCGTGTTGTATAGTCGGTGAAACTCAAGCACACTTGTACTGTATGTGCGTACATGTCAACTCAAATGTATAATCAGTACGCTCTATCGCTCATAGCCAATCTCTTTTCATATATACTGGGCTTAATCTGGGTTATTTGGTCAATAAATTGATTACTGATTCATTCTGGAAGGTAAAATAGTTGAGGGAACTAACACCAACTGTAAATTACCTTTAGGAATGTTAAACCAATTATATAAGAAAGTTTGTTTCGGAATACAAAAGGCGCGTTCACACCAAGTACTTTGCCGTACTTAGTTCCCAGTACTTAGTTCATCAGAACTCTTTAGTTCTGATGAACTAAAGAGCAGATCGCGTTCACACCGGAATAAGTCCCTGAGGGTGGATTAGGCAAATGAAGCCGCTGACGTCTGCTTTGGGTTTACTGGCAGGCCGCAAACAACTTCACGGCGTATACTGCCACCCGAAGTCCCCCGGCCGGAAGTCCCCGGAGTTGGGGACTTCCGAGTAAATCGCCAGAACACCGACACCTCCTCATCACTCCACCGCTCCCATGTTTTTTTTTGTGTTGCCATAAGTTAGTCTCTCTCCGTTGGTGCGCTGGGCTAATGCTAATAATGCTAATGCCAGCAAATACAATGGTGGCTTCACAAAACCTTTCCGAGTTTTACGGGGCGTGGTTTGCAATCCGCCCAGCCAATCAGAAATGGGAACCTTTTTCTCCCATGAAAGTACCTGCTCTCTAGCAGGGACTCAAAAGGGGGGGGGAAAGGTTCTCATGAACTAAGTTCTAGTTCCAGATTTTTTTGGTGTGAACGCAAAATTTAAAGAACTATCGAAACTATACTGGGAAAAGTACTCCGGTGTGAAAGCTCCTAAAGTGTCAAGTACAATCGGGGGAACTAAACCGAAGTGTAAAATACAGTTGGAAACCTAACTTTAGTAAACTTAAACCAAATGTTAAGTGTTTAGGAAAATATAACCTGCTCTAAATGTACAAAATTAAGTCAAATCAACCAACTACGTAGTGGCACCGTTAAGACATTTGGTCAGTCCTACAGTTTACAGTCTCCATGTATCGGGTGAACACATGCACTCAGGATGAACTGTGTACCAGAGCAGCAGCGAGTGAGCAGTCAAATCAGAAACACACCTCTGTTTGCTTTGGGCTGGCCCGCTGCCACTCTGCTCCGGCCTCAGACGCATGCCTTGCAAATGGGGACAGACATTACTGTTATTGTATTCGCGGTGGAGTTCATATGAATATGCTGTGACTGTACTGAGGCAGACGTTAATATAGATATGATAACGTGTTGCGATAACAGAGCTTAGGCGTGACATGTTTATCTTTGGGAGTCAAGTCAAGCTGATAAGGCAGACTTATTAAAGATGCTGAAACCAACAACTTCTAAATATACGTAGCTTATATTCTGAATTATTTATATCTGTTCCCTTGTAGCACTTTCCTTACTAATTTTCTACCATACTGTACCCATATGGGAATTCAAACACTCCCTCATTGAAACATTTTATAAATAACCTTGCCATACCCCACAAGCTATTCAATAAAACTGATTTTCTAAAGGCATTACGTTAACAGAATGAAATCTCCTTTTACCTCATTCTTTCACATCACAGACCAATGTTTTACTCATGTAAATACTATATTATTGTTATTACCATATATTATATTGACCTAAATTAAACCTTTTTCTTACAAAAGCATATACTTGCAAAGCACACATATTGTAATAGCCAAGTCAATGCTTAAAATCATTCTACAAAACCTTTCCTTTTCATTTCAGTCGTTGTCACAGTGTTTTCTTTTAAAGTATGGTTGGAAACGCACATAATAAACATTCTTTCTCCACAAATTCGACATCTGAGGTTTTGTAGACACTTCCAATATTTAAGGGCTGTTTAGTGAATGGGTTGATCAGGGAGCATGCGATGTTAACGTTAAAATGTTTACAACTCCTAGTGACAGTAATACATTTAAACAGAAAAAAAGTATTTAAAACCAATCAGTGTACGGCACCTCTAAATACTAAAATACAAGAAAGAGAACCCGAATGTTGCATAAGTTTTGGTTTGAATGTCTATATGAAATGAGGGTCAGCCCTTGCATATATTGTCTAATGTCTAAATAACTTTCTGTAAAATAGCATCATGTCGGATGGCACCATGTCAGCTGGATGGTGTGACTTTCTGAAATAACTGTACTGCTTTCTGTTTAAATGCTGCCATCTCCTCCTCAAACTATTACACAACAATTAGCAACTGTTGCTGTTTGTCTCTGCTCTTTAAATGCCCTTCTGTCCAAAACAGTTGGAGACAGACTGGGCCTGTGTGTGCGTGTGTGTGTGCGTGTGCGTGTGTGTGTGTGTGTGTGTGTGTGTGTGGTGTGTGTGTGTGTGTGTGTGTGTGTGTGTGTGTGTGTGTGTGTGTGTGTGTGTGTGTGTGTGTGTGTGTGTGTGTGTGTGTTGTGTGTGTCTGTGTGTGTCTGTGTGTGTGTGTGTGTGTGTGTGTGTGTGTGTCTGTGTGTTTGTTGTTGCTTTTTTGGGCAGTGGGATTGGGGTTACTGGGCATACTGGACCCAAACAGGTCCTCATTGTGCTTCAGGAGGAAGAGCCGGGTCGTGCTGCACCCTATTCAGCCCAGTTTAGAGTATGTGTTTGTTTGTGTGTGTGTATTTATGTCATATATAATGAGGGAGTTTTTCATGTTCTAATGGCTGCTATGCTACATTAGTTTTACCCATACATATGTTTAAACCCAACGAGACAGCTTTTACTTTCTGAAACTAAACTTTATTGCAGTGCATTTATTGCAGCCTGAATGATACTTGTTGCCTGGTTACACAACTGTGTATGAGGGCGCAGGGCTTACTGTTGTGGTTGTGCAAGGATGTAGCTTTTGCCAAGGTTGTGTGAGGTATTCAACACTACTGATTATGTCAAAAATAATAATTGTGTGGTCATTGTTTTAGTGTCACTCTCCTTTTTCTCATTGCCATCACTGTAGCTGCTGTTACTGCTCTGATCTTTATGTAAATACTGTAAACATACTTTTCTCTTTGATAGCCTGAAACACCGCTCTTAACAATCTGATCTCTGTAAATCTACAGGGTCCAAAAATGTCACTGATCATCACTTTAATATTCTTTTTTATCTTTGATTTGTTTCTACAGTGACATAACAGGAGAGTGAAGACAGGATCAAGAGACCAGGACAATTTATGAACCCGATGGCATATGGGAACTGGTAGGTTTAAGACACACACACACACTACACACACATACACACAGTGAGTCCCATAGAGAGACACAGCAATGCCCTGGAGGGTGCCAGTCATGCCCAGCTTCCGCTGCGCTCCAAATTGAGCGTGGCACTGAGTGTATGAAGTCAGCCGTCTGGAAGAGAGCCAAGCATTGTTCCTCCGAGCAGCTGGATGGTAATTACTAGAAAGAGAGAGAGGGAGAAAGATGGGAGCCCTCTCTACCTCACTGTTGCTTCCTCTCATGGTGCATGTATCATATTAGAATATATAGTAAAGCAGAGCTGGGGGCCATATTAATGTACAGTCATCAGAATGGGATGAATATATGGCTCACGGCAGTAAAAAGAAAATGTGTTCACAAAGTTAACACCACACAAAGGACATAAACACTTAATATATAATGGAATATTGTGCAGAGAGATGAAAGGTGATCTTATGTACTGTCTATCAAGGCTGTATTTACATGATATACACTTCATTACATTAGGCAATGTATTTGAACATTTATATAGTATACAAGCAACTAAAACAATCAGATGTGGCTTTACAAAGAAAGAAAGAATAGTTTGAGCAGTTGTCATGGAGGTATAGTGTAGTACTGTATGTCGTACACGGGTCCATCCCGGCGCTAACTACATATGGTATGTATGTATTGTGAACTAAATATACCACTGAGCTTAGTCCATTAACAAACTACTTAAAAACACTGTGATGTCTGTTCAAAATATCCAGAAAAGCTTGAGTGAGGATTTCTTTTTGGTGAAGACTTCAAAAGATTTCCAAAAATATAAACAATGTGCAGGTAAAGTAAACATTTCATTTAGCTTTCAATGTATATTTAATACAATCTCAAAGTATTTCAGCTCATCTAGGACCATTGAAGGAGCTTCCCTAACATTTTATTTCATCCTTAAACTCCTTGGACACCTTGGACACAAAAACCCTTGATAGAATATCTAGCATGTGCAATAGGAAGCTAATGCAGAGATCTGAAAGCAGTCGATTGATGTGATCAAATGTGTGACTTAGCTTTTGTGGGCCTACAGTCTCTTCGATTGATAAGAGAGACTAACAATGTCAAACGAATAGTTGTATATAAATAAAGTGCAACTGAAAAACTGTAACAAAACTAGCTGTTGCTGGTTCTAATATGTTTTATCATCAACATTACAGTCTCAAATATATTATATTTCCAAAAATGCATTTCTACATATTCGAAGATCTCCATACATTGGTAATGAACATACTTACATAACCGGAATACTCACTATTTCTCTACACAATTACATCAGTGTTTTAGTTCAAAACTGAAGAAATGCTGTGTACATTTATCTGCTTTCAAATATATATGATGCTGGAGGAAGATAGAAGAAGAGAGGGGGAGAGGAAGAGGGAGGGTGGGGAGATATTTGCCATCATCCAGGCCGGAGGAATGTGTCAACTCGCTGTCAACTATGCACTGCTTTGTCATGAAACCACAGAGCAGTGGAAACACGTAAAGTTTCCTTTTTCACACCTTTCGACTCCTTCCTCCCTCCTTCCTCCGCCTCCCCCGTCTCCCCCCACTCTCACACAGTGGCAGCAGTAGCCGGGCCTGCAGTGCTAGTGCAGCTGTGACCAGAACAATAGCATTCCTCAGGTTTTAAACGCCTGGCACTTAGATTCCTAACAGTCAAATTCCTGGCTGGGAGAAGCTGGGGGTTGCTATGGGACGCCGAGAGCTGTGAGACGCCTTGTAAGGAGGCGCACAGCTGTAAAGCGCTGTGTGATTTGTGTTTTTTATGAGAAGGATGGATGGGTTCATGGGGAGGCAGATGGGGGGGGGGGGGGAGCTCTGTTGTTCCACCTCACGTCCTCTTTTCCTCAGATGTGACATTTCCAACACTCCAATTTTATCAGTTTGGGTGGAGAGGCGTCCCGCTGCTTTGTTGGGGCATCGTGTGTCGATGGAGGCACCTGTTAAGTCAACATGTGAGTCTTGTGATGCGTTTTTCTCACATGTGGTGCCAAAAAGCCCACTGATGTGTTGAAAACGACACATTAGTTTGAAGAGTGTTAAATTAGGTGTTAGCAAAGGAAACAAACACAGATATGTTGTGTGTGTATGACAGACAGGTGGATGTCACTTTGCATATACTCCTTTCTTACATAAGATACAAAAAACATGCATACATTTGGTATTTTTACAGAGGCGGTAAAGTAAAATAACCACTAATATCTCTCCTATTTTCAATTTTGTTTGTTTCAGAAGCTTTTCCTAAAAACTCAACAATTATTAATTCATTATTTGTTCTTATTTTTATGCTAATTTTAACAGCTACTACTCAAATCACTTCACTGACCACTAATTCATCTTTTTCTTCCGAGAATGCTTTTATTTTGAAATACTGTTCTTTGCTGTTTTTTAGAGCAGTGGAAAGCCCAACTGCTTTGCTTCTTAACCAGTGAATAATTTAGTATTTTAACCTACGCGGTAAATAAACATATAAATAAAAAATCCCTAACAAGCTTCCCTATTTTCAATGTTGTCTGTTTCTTACATAAAACATCAGTCTTTTAAAAAAAAAATCTACTATCATGATTTACTTATTTGTTCTTTTTATTCTAATTCTCTCTCTTTTTCCTCCGAGAATGCTTTTATTTTGAAATCCTGTTCATAGTTGTACTTTAGAGTAAATGAAAAGCCCAATGCTTTGCCTCTCACATCATGTGCTCCTCTGGTGGCTTCAGCACTGAGCTGCCCCACTATCAGCCCATCTGAAATAACCCCAAAAATAATGATTCTCTCATTAACCACGCCTGTTTCACAATTTAAATATAAATGAATCTAATTTAGAAAACCTCGGCCACGCTGAAGGGGACTCATTTAGAGCCAATCTAAAATTAATGAGGGCATCTGGAGAGAGACGGAGAGAGAGTGGAGAGGGGCCCGGCGTGGCTTAACAGATACCGGAGTTAACAAGCTACTGTACTTTAAACACTGGGAAAATCCCCATTAATTTTAAAGTTAACGCACTACTGTACTCTGAATGCTGCCAAAAGAGCTTTAATGTTAGTTCAAACACATTACAGCCAAATCTTCAGACTGACTCTTGGCCTCTTGCTGTCAAGCGTCCTTCGTAAGCCCGCGTTTATCAGACTCTGCCTGGTCATACAGAATTATAATTTTCGGGACATTTGTAATACAATGGCAGATAGATATGTTTTGCATGAGCACAGGATTCAACCCCGGACTTGAAAGCTGTCACTGTTAAAATAGTAGCAATATAAGATGGAGGATCTCTCCATGATGGATGATGCATCAAAAAAACGTCCAAATAATTTCAATGAATTGGAATATTGTCATTTACATATGGCAGGAAGAGTGACCATCACATCATGAACAGTTTATAATGTTCAAGATCAGAAAATGCTGTAATTTGTAAGAACAAGCTATACATTTCCATGAAAAAAAAAAAGATAACTCATGTCCCCCAGTTAATTGACTGTACTGCAGGTTTGCATAATATACATTTACATTCTCACTGATATGCAGATTGCAACGTCCTTTGCCCCAGCAGCCGTTTGAGGGTCTGCAGCAGATGCCAGCCAGCTCCCACAGCGACTGTTTGGTTTTGCAGGTTTAATTCCCGATGGGTTGGGGTCCAGAGTGATTAGGCTGAGCCCTGGAGGCCAGGGGCTTGTCAGGTGTCTCCACACATTAACGTTGTTCTGCTCACACCCTGAGCCGACAGCACAGCGAGGCAGAGGGGGAGAGGAACACTGATCTGCCGTGGTGGGAGGCACACAGGGCAGGGAGACACTGTATTGTTCACCTAAGACTTAAAAATAAGTTTGCTTTGAATTTGTGTTGAGATTAAGGGGAATGTAATGAGACCTATAGGCTATATTGACAGTGTTGTTTCTCTTGTCGTTGAGGAAAGTCACCAACCAAAGTACAATAGACATTGACGTTGGGATGTACTAACAACTCTTAAAAGTTTGAAAAAGTTAGAAAACACAATAGGCGCTTTCACACCAGAGTACCTTTCCCGTACTTTTCCCAGAAATAGTTCCGATAGTTGCTGGGATGTTGCGTTCACAACAAAAATATCTTTTTTTTCGGGAACCTTTTCTCCCCTTTTCAGTCCCTGCTGGGAGTCCCAGCAGCTTCTACTGAAGCCAGTCCCCAACTCCGGGGACTTCCGGCCGGGGACTTCGGGTGGCAGTATGCGCCATGAAGTTGTTTGCGGCCTGCCAGTAAACCCAAAGCAGAAGAAGAAGTAGTGACGTCAGCGGCTTCATTTGCGTAATCCTCCCTCAGGGACTTACGGCCCGTCCACACGGCGGCGTGCGTTGAAGGTTCAACGCTTCTGCCCATTCACTTTGAATGGGCTGACGTCACGCTTTACCGAACTGCATTGTGGTTCCGTCGCTTCGCTTTGCTCGCGTTGCTCGCTTCAAAAGTTGAGCAATGTTCTACTTTTGAAGCTTCGACGGAAGCGTCAGCCAATCAAATCATTTGCTAGTACAAGCTCTAGCCAATCAAACCACGTGCTTGTGTGTCCGGGGCGGGAGATTCCATGTGATTGGTTGTTGGTCGAGTTTCAGACACACCCACCGGCAAGCTTCAACGCACGCCGCCGTGTGGACGCTGCGTTACCCCTAGATTCCACCGGGTCCGTCTGCGTCGCGTTACGGCTGTAACGCGGTGTTCGCAAAGATCGCGGCCACTCTAGTCAATGGGTGCTATTCCACCAGACGCGCCGCTTTACGGCTCAGAAGCGTACCAGAAGCGTCCCAGAAGTGTCTCGGCGCTGGGCTCCGCAAGTCTATTTTCGACACGTCGCGAGGCGTTGCAGAGGCGCCGGGCGTGCCAGCGTTCTCCTCCGGTTTAAAGGCACTGTGTAAATTATATATATAGAATAATTATGATGATGAATGCATTTTTTTGCCACTAAAATACAGCAACACATCTTTGATTCATGTCGTATATAACTGTAAT